AAAATTAGCATTATATTTTTTATTATTAAATGAAACTAATCTATCACCAAGTACTTTTTCTTCCATAACCTTTTACCATATTTGATATCACTATTGATATTTCTTTATACTCATAATGTATTCTTTAAATCACGATAATGAACCTCCTGTATATATACAGATTAATTCAAGAAGTAGTTTCTTCAAAGTACCGAGTGTATAATGTATATGTAACATCAGGTCAAGGTTTCTATCACAATAAGAAACTCTAAAAATACATTATTCTAAGTTTGTGATAAACCATGAGAGATATTTACACTTTCTCTCCCTAAGTAACAAAATAATAGCATTCAAAAGAAAAATTGCTCTCTCAATTAAAAATGTCGTTGAAACCGTTTCATGGGTTTTACAAAATATTATTTATTATGTCTTTTTTAAAACCACAACGTTTTGTGAATAATGTCACAAAGTTTTAATATCTTCTTATTCTTCTTCTATCTTAGATATCTCAATTTAATTATTCTCATTCTAAATACATTAAAAATTGGACTGTAAATGGCTTCCAACTTTTTCATTTATATTTCTTACAAAGCGGTTACGACAGTTTAAAAAAGCAGTTACAAAATCTTTACGATCTCTGCTTATTAAGACGAAGTAATTTAAAACAAAATTTCAAAACAGAACTTATTATAAGTAGAAGCAATGTACTTTATAACTTATTTTCTTATTTAGAACCTCTAGATTCTTGACTTGGAAGTTTTAATACCGATCTTTTTGATTTAAGCAACTACATAACGTGGTAATTTTATATTTATAAAAAAAGTTAAAGGAGTTAATAACAAAGGTTGTTATTTTCATATGTCGTGAAAACTGCTACCTCTGAGTCATAAGGCTTTTGTTTTCCTAGGACCATAAAATAAATGCATCTCGTTTATGCGCCGACGTCACCATTATTATGATTTGAAGTACAAGACGTAGGAATCATAAAGAAGATTTCATTATATTTTTAATGCTATGAGAATTTGTCGATGTTTCTTAAAAATTTAATATTATTATGACAAATTTTCAAAAGCACCTTAACTAATAAATTGCTCCGCTAATGGGATCTGTTTTCACGGAGAGTGATTTAGAATCGATTAGGAAAAATACGGCTTGTCGGAAATAATATTAGGGACATCTCAGATGAAAGAAAACAAGAAAGCTTGTGTTTTCGTGTAGACCTGAAATCATTAATCAATACAACCTAGAATTGTTCGTAATTATTACCCACATTTCTATGACTTTAGACTTATTAACTTATTAGCATCTCTTTTAATGCATAACAGGCAACGCGAGGTTTTAAAATACCTTTGCTATAATTCTCAAATAATAATTTTTAATATCTATTCATGCAATTGTTAAAATCAATGACAAAATATAAATAACTATATCTGAAATAAACTAATATTAACAATAAAGTAATCGTATATTAAAGTTAATTCGTTCCAAGAGTCAAAAATTGTTAAAATTATAGTTAAATCTGTATTTTATTTATAAAATTTGGAAGCAAAATTTTTTATTGATCGATGCAAAAATTCATCTAGAAAGTTTATAAATATAACTTCAAGTATCAAGATAGTTCAGTTTTCATATTTTCAGGGCAACAGTTGTTAAAACTTTTTCGATTTTTTAAATTTTCATAACAATATGCTCCTCGCTATCGAGATTTCATTACATTTATATTGTTATGCTCACGTGCTACTTTTTAGAATTCTTTTTCTTCCACACACAGCATTTTTTAAACATACAGTATGTATACATATAGTTCATTATATTAAGCGTAAAACCATCTTTATAATAAACAATGTGTTATTATATTTTTTACATAAATTTTAAAATAATTACGCTACCTATACTAAAACTGATATTTTATTTGAATAATTGTTTGTCTGTAAGCGTAAAGGTGCTAATTCAATTATTCATATTTCATCTCTGAAAAATTTATTTTTCAAATGACTAAAAAACACAACAAAGTTACATAAACTTTCACTTGACTAGTAAATAAAATGAATAATTCCTAAATTATTTAATCCATACGACCTAGAAAGCATGAAATTTATTTTATGAACATCCTGAAACAATTTGTGCCCAAAACATTTCTGAATAAAAGTGTTGAGATATGCGAATCGCTTATCAATTATAAATGCTTAATTTCATATATAATGTAAATAAATACCAAGGTATCCATGAATGTATCAAAAAATGTTGTCTTAACTGTTATATCTTTTAACACATAGATACTATTATTTGAAAAATATTGTGCATTTTTCTATAGCTGCGAAGCGTTTGTGTTTAAACTGCATGTGACACATATATATTTTTATGTGAGTGCACATTAATGGTTTTATAACACTGTTTTTCTCGCCGTTTTAAAAATTCCTTTTTTTTAACTTTATCTTAATTTATATTAAAACTATTATATTTTTATCAAAACTTTTAATGAAATCTGAAACTATCTTTGATGTTAACTCTAGTGTAAAAAAATAGAACATTTAAATTTTTAAATGTTTTTACTGTTATTTTAGTGAATATTCAACAGAAAACGACGAGTTTTTACTATTTAATAATAAGTCTTAATGTTATGTTATTTAATTAAAGCATTTCAGTCACAAAATAATTTTAAAAATATCCTATTTACTTTCAACGATATAAACAAAAGAAATTGATTTTGTAATGGCTGGCTTGTCCAATATTTGGTACCTAAAATGAAACGAATAAAAATGAATAACTATTTTTCCAGCGTAAGTTTCATATTCCGTGTAAGTATGTATTGCAGTCAATATAAAATAAATTTTAATAACACTTTGACATAAATGTCTCAATATTTTTATATCGTTCTTATTAACTTTACCAATTCAGTGTCGTAAACAAAAAAATTTAACCAAATCTTAAAATGTCACCCTATCTCACATGTAATCACTTTGATTTAAAATCTACAATTCAATAACTATTCGTTTATAAGAAATAGTGAAAATTATAAAGACAAAGACATTAAAAAATAGTGGCAAATGAACATTAAATTAAATTTATAACTAGAGCTAAAAAATCATTTCCCCGTAAAATCAAATCGATCACTTTACAATACATTGAATGTCAGCACATAAATTCTAAAGATAGCATCTACGTAAAACAAAAATAATCCCTTAATAATAGCACCTTTAATAAAAATTCTTTTCCGATTACTTTTTATTTATAAACATAAATTTACGTTCATACATATTCAAATAATACAAATACAAAATTCACAAACCGTTGCTCGAAAAGCGGCACTACTCGAGAATATTGTCAGATTTTATTATTAGAATTTACCAGTTTCCATTACCAGTACCAATAATTAAGAGCATTCTGCAGTGGATTTTTTTTTGTTTTAGAGTTAACTTCTTTTAATTGTAGTTGTACTCGTAGTAAAGAAAATAAATCAAACGTCCTTTCATTATATTTATAACAAAATGAGCATATCGATTCGTCTAAATAATTGTAAGTTTAATTTTCTTACAAAACATTTAAACTATACAAAATTTTTGCTGCATCGTGTTATTTATAGCGTACATAAATTTCGCTGTCTTTACTGTTCACTGTATGTTTGCAGCCGATACATTTTTGTAGCCAGCATGAAATGTTCTAACAAGGGAACACAATATAAACCAAAAGCTATACATGTAATTAATCCATTTTTTATAGAAATTTACAAAATTAAACGTGTTTTAATGTTACCCATACGTTATTAAGAATAATAATAATTAAAACCTTATCATGACAGCATAAGTTAAGTAGAAACCTTTTCTTAACGAGACTCTTTTTGCCCTATATATTTTTATTGATCAAATAAGTAAATAGCAAGCGCACTATTAAGTCTTATTGGGACCCATTTAGCATCTGGTGTGGAACCGCGATCTATCAACGTCCCAAAACCATCGCATTTCAATGCTGCCTAATGGCCAGTATAGTTTTTCAACTTAGCGTCCGACTGTAGGTTCTGTTTTGTGTTTATTATGACATGTCTTCCAGTGAAATATACTTATATTGGGACGAAATTATTTCAATTCTTGATAAATTTATAATGTGGAGAATCGGAGGCAGTTTTCCTTCCAAGATTGTCTTGTTTTATTAAACTTTTGTACCATTAATTATAATCAAACACTGTATTATGATTTGAACGAAAGGCATCAATTATCTTACATTAAGAAATCTATCATTATAAATATGGTTTAATATAAAATAATTAATAATTTGGCCATTGTTACTTTGGGATTAATTACGTACTTGATATGGAATATCAATGTCAATACACTTGTGATGTCTGTAAACCGTTAATTGCTTTGTCAAACTATGTCCACCACGGTCCTATTGAACACTTTTCCACTTAAATCGCTTCCACTCCAGTAGTTTTGGTCGGTATGATATGCCAATAACTGAATCTGAATTGTACTCAAAATATTATAATCGTTCTAGATATAAATACACGTGTTTTTGTTATTGTTTTATAGATTCAAAGCCAATAATAAAAATTGTATAATAAAATAAGTGGACCGTTGAATATTTCAAAAACCTTTATTATATTTTGTATTGTTTTAAATTATTTTGTCTTTATTTCATTCCATTTTTTTACTACTTTACTATATGTATTCTGCTTTGATATCACTATTATTTTTTTATAAAATAAAATTGACTTTCAACATTCTATAATTTTCGTATAACAGTTTCTGTGAAAATTAGTATATTAAAAAGTTACACTTGAAATTTGTCACTGGAAATTTATTTTACTTTTGTATACCTAATTCAATTCAAGCTTTTCTAAATATTATTCTAAGCAATTACAAAATTGTCAACACATTTTAAATTAAGATCGTGTTATTTAATTATCTCGTAGCTGCGAATATAAATTTGGGAAGTCCTTGAACTTGTTTCAAATAATCGTGGTTTAGCAATTTTAATAAATATGATCTTTGTAAGTTTTGTTGCATAAATTTTGTCTGTTTCAGATTTACGCCATGGTGTGTGTGATCTCCCAGTTTCAAGAATACCTCGAGGGAAGAGGTACAGCTGCATTTGACTACTCCGACAGGGTAAGTAAAGATACGAGTACACAGCACTATTATTATATTACATATTATTAAATTCTTAAGACATGTAGTGATATAGTTAAGCCTTAATTTTGAGTCATAGTTCATACATAATTTAATTTAAAATTCAACTTTAAAATCTGTACACACATTACTCATCCTATCCAATTCAAAATATAACCAGGACGGTTAATGTTTCACCTTCACTCAAGTCCCTAATGAACCATATTTTAAATTAAGACAAGAGATAGAAAACACAGTAACTTTAGCACACCCATCAAAGAAGGGCTGGATCAAAGAAGCCTTAATTATCTAATGTGTACTGAGACTGCGAGTAAATTCGCATGTATACGAGATATAACGAACTCGTAAGATGGTTACATAACGTAATCTCATTAAAAATTCGTAGCATTAGTATATATATATATATGTATATGTGGACAATTATTTATTTGTTACCAATACAATCGAATAAATGAGGATAACAATAACATAAATTGTATTGAAATTCTTTTCGTACCAAATATGAAATAAATGATGGATTTTCTAATTATAATATTTCTATTATAAATTAACATATATTTTTCAAAATTGTAACATCAGTTTGAATTCTTTTATCGAACTATTTGAGGAAAATAACTTACTATCTTTATAAAAACAATGTGAAGTAACTTTTTTACAAATAAGAATTGGGTTTGTTTCGTTTATATCACTATCATTTATTTTAATAATATGACATAAATAAAGTGCAATGAAAACTATACAAAATATTATTTGTTTTGTTTTTGAAATCATAATTTGAAAAATTTTGACGACAACCTCTCTTTAAAGTCGAAGACTGCGATCAAATTCGTAAGATGGAAGTTCGAATTGGTTTACTTCTTAGGAATATCCCAATGGGTGGCCCATACAATGTAAGAAAGGATTATTTAGTTTGTTATGACAGATTTTCTCGTACGCTCCTTTCCCTTAATATCAGATCTGTGCTCATAATAGAGATGTGCAAAAGCAGTTCTTGAAATTTAAAACGACTATTTCTTTACCACGGATACCTTATAAATAGTTATGTTATCTTTCATATCTTATTCAAAAGTTCCCAGATCACCTGTTCATTTATATAATTTAAATTTATTTTATAATTAATTTTATAATTCTTATGGAGAGGCATTTATGGAACTGTTTTATGCAATTTATTTTATTGTGTCAACTGATTTAAGTATATGATTGTTTTAATATACAGTCGGTATTATTACTTCCCTTCATTCCTTTTGTTTCTCACTCAAAGTGAAGCAAGTTTCCTTATTTATCTTGTGAAAATAATCGTGACCCAAAATTAAGGCTTAACTTGTCTCTTTGCAGATAAAATCCTAATTTAGCAATATCTGTTAATAATAATCTGAACCCAGAAGACTGGTATTATTAGAATAATTATACGAATAATATGTAGTATATAGTTTATAAATAAAATCATCGGAATAATATTTTTAAAATGCAATAGTGTACTAAAGGCCACAAGAACACGTAAAACTAATTTGGGAAGTTTAAAAAACCAGGAAACCTATTTAGAAGAATAGACGGGCATAACATAGAAATGTTTAGCAGGAACAAGTGCTATGCCAGCTATGTAATCTATGCAAGTACTTATTGTTGAAAATTCAAAGGCACAGACAGAAAGAGTAGGTACATTTGAGCATACATTTATATTAATAGACTGGCACAAATGTAGAAATTCAATTTCTGGCTATTTGTCACTTGATCGCTTAACTTGTAAGCAGTCGATTCCATACTATTTCAATACCTCCTCAAATCCATTATTCCGGAAAGTGAAACACAAATCTTGCAAGGAGAAAAAAAATCGAGACTGAAACGCCCTACCCTTCGTTGGTCTGAGGCTAATTTGACACGAAAAACAATTAATTTCTTTGGAATATTTTTTGATAGATAATATTTTTCACGCGCTGTGCGGTCCATGATATATTGGGAGGAAAAGCTCCCAAAAATTAATATAATATATACATTTGGTAATTTTATTTTCTACTTAGATAGTATATTTATATTTAATGCAATCTGCTATAAAAAGTCAATGGCGCAATATGATATAAATAAACTATAACAACAAATGCATTTTTTTCCAGGTCAGGGCTTATAGTCTTTAAGTTAGGTCTATTAATAAAAGTCTAAATCTATTAGAGACCTTTAAAATGATTGTGATTTATAAAAATCTTAGTTTATTCATTAGCATTAAATAACGGGAGGTTGTAGAAAACAAAAATATAATTACTTTCGGCACATTAATTTTGAGGACAATAAATGCCATCAATATTTCGTTCTAAGCTCCATCAACAAAATAATATTTTTCTATTATGTTACGGATGAATTTTTAATTAATATAAAGCCAATTTTATTTATCTTTTCACTTCGCATAATAAATGTATGAAAATCAATGTTTTTTGTTTACGCCCCTGCATAATTATGAAATGTAAAAAAGCAGTGCTAGTAATTTTACAAGCCACTGCCAGACTGGACACATCGCCGACTGCCACGGTGAAGTAATCCGATTAATCAACCCAATGTATTCGGATGAACTTAATCAGCTTTACTCGCCTTTGATACACTTACCTTTTTTCAATTAACTTCGTCATTTAAAATGCTCTGTTTACTTTTATATCACTTAATTCTTTAAAATTTTAAAAATATTCTTCTAACTTAGAAGTTTATTTAAACTTATCTGAGTGTTTTAAAGAATAATACAAATCTACACTACAATAAAATAACTTATTACTACTACTATTAGTCATAAATAATATATATTGGCACTAATCGACATTAATAACTAATGTCACCAACAGAAACATGTACTAAGTGCCAGAGAGTAACATAAACTATAAAAAAAAATTGTTATCAAAAGTATTCCTTGATATGTGCTGATAGGAGAACTCTCGAAGATATGATAAAACAATGTGATAAATTTTTTTTCTAATATTTCAAACACATCTAAAACATAAAATCCAATTAAAAAAAACAAATAAAGTGAAATTCCTACTTAATAGATTTCTTCCATTTTGTAGAAATTAACTGCTACAACGATAATGACTAGATTATGACTGTTCGAGAATAAAGCAAAATAGTCGAACCACACCTTGATGTCAGTACTTTCAATGTAAGACATGATTACCCATTAGATGATTAAACCATTAACATAAGAACGCCACTATGATACACTACAAAAAGTTGGGTATTAGATGTGGAGGCAAGGCTATATAGAGAAATCGTTCCCTTCTCCGCAACAATGATGAATAAGGAACCGACATCAAGTCCAATTGCGTTCTTTTGAAACCAGTAGACGTCGATTAATCAACTCCTTTTTTCTCTGTAATATATTAATCTGGACTGAGCCTAGTTGGAAAATGGGGTGAATGCTTTCATAATTCATCCTTCTTCCCTTATTAAACAAAATTTCAATCTAAATCTGCCATAAAGTAACTGATTGCCATTACTAATTTGCGTTGAAAACTAAAATTGTGTAAAATTAATACACAAATATGATTTAGATATTCTTAATAATTTCTAAGGTTTTCCTGAGTACATATTTCAAATAAACTTTTTGTTTAGGATATATTAATTGCGATATTTATTTGAAGCCAGAATGATTATTTCTCCTCGATTTTTAGTTAGGTATGTTCAATAATAAAAGTGAGAGGTAACCCGAAAATAGTGTTATAATGCATATGTAGTCACTTATGTACTATTTTGTATTCCTTATCTGTTTTTTTTCTGTAGCAGCTAGCAGCGGTGCAATATACTGCCACAGCCCAACATACCACAACCACCAGCTCAGCTCCGAGTGGCCGTCGTCGCTCGGCGCCACGACCTCTACCAAGTCGATGTGATCCTGAAGATTTTTCTGAAGCACCCACCAGAGTCGTAGGTAACACATAAAAGCAACCAATTTTTCCGTAATCTATTTGTCTATTCAAGCTATTTAAACACCTAGAAAGATGAATTATAAAAAAAAGTAATTTCAAACTCATTTCCTAAATTTCAATAATCAGTTAAAAAGCAATTATATAAAAATTAAGACTTATATTTTAAAATTAACAGTAAAGCATGTCATCAATCTAAAGTGTGGCTTGTTTTTTTGGTCCATTAATCAACACCATTAATGGACGATCTATATGGTAATAAAAGTAAGTGACTAATAAAACATGTTTTTAAGCTGTATTAGGTTTATTTGACATTTTAAAAATTTTATGAAAAACAGTTTTTTTTACTAATAGTTAGTAAATTTTGAATAGGAAATACTAAAGTATAATAGTCGTCCACATTTTTGTTAGAAATCAAACACATTTGAAAATTTTCATATCCATATATAAATCGTATAAAAAATAAAAATGTGAAGAAATTTTAATATTCAAAGTTTTTCGAGCCTTTGATACTAATTACTATTGATGTTAGCTATGTTATTATAACTTAAAATAATATAATTTCAATGAATAGTGTTCTGGCAATTGGAATTAATTTAGCATTTGAAATTCCTATTTATGTTTAATTTAATAATGGTTGCGAAATATCAAAATTACAATTACAATTTATATCCTGTTGGGTTTGTATTATAATATGTATGTAGGATATATTTATATATACGTTATAAAGTATGTATAACGTTTTTATTCATACGTTTAGATTGCACAAAATTATACTTTAGGTAATTTTAAACATACTATTCTTCTTCTTCTACCTGGCAATTTCCCAGCTATAGCCAGGGTCTGCCTTACATGTTGTGAATAGTTTTTTGGCTATTTGTTTTTACGACCGGCCGCCTGCCTGACATCAACCCTCTTTTGGGTATCAACATTAATCAGTGATGTCTAAAGACTCTTAGAAAGTACATATGATTCGGAAAAATCACATTGGTAATTTTAAACATACTATTATGAAAAAATATTTTACTTATTCTGCTTTCTTATATTATGAATCTGATTTGTAATTTTGTATCTTTAAAATTTGATAAATTAAAATGATATCAACAGAGGACGCCGTACTGAGAATATAACCATAAAAAATGTCTCCATTAAAAGGAATTCAAAAAGGAGATAATGCATAATGTAGATGTTCATTTTATTTTATAGATTAAATTTACCATAAAGTTCCTTTCTATTTCATATATTTGTAAGAGTTTGAATCTAACCACAATCTGTTTTTATTTTTTGTCAGTTATTCAGTATCGCGATTTATTTGTGTGAAGAATATAAGAGATACATCCATTTAAATATCAATAAAATAAATTCAACACTCGTTAATTACATTATCTGATCTTTTTTATATCTAATATCTATATGACAACGGCTTATTCAATATTCCAATATTCTCAGTTCCAGAGCAACTTCTCCTTTAAAGTGATTATCTTTGATATCTTTCGGTGACATTACGTTCCATAGTTTAATAACAACAACCTTTAATTTTTAAAATGCTTGTATGCTTTTTACAAGAATATGAAAAAAACAGTCTATCTTTTATATATATCTCAATATATTTTTTATATTATAATAAACTTCAAAAGTAACATATCTTACTTTTTTTCTAACACCATAGAAGGATTTTACATTTAATATTTTATTAAATTATGTATTATTTATATGAAATATTGGCCACATATTGTTATATTTTCGGGTTACTATTTTTGTGTCCATGATACTATAAAACTTAAAAGAGGATATAAATCTAGTGAATCGATATACTTGACAGTTTAAGCCAGGGACTTTGCTCCCGTTCCAGAAAGTTTTAGTATTAAAATAAATAAATTTACATAGACGTTTTGCATTTCATCTCAAAAAGTCGTGAAGAACAAGCTTACATCAAAACAGTATAGAAGTTTCGGTAGACGTATCTTATAAGTTATAACGTTATTATGAGAAATCTTCTATATATATAAAAATGGATTGCTGTTCCTTAGTCTCACTAAAACTCGAGAACATCTGAACGGATTTATCTTATCTTAGTCTTGAAATGTTCGTGGAGGTTCAGGGAAGGTATAAAAGCTAAAAAAAATTGATTCATCACTGGGAAAACCATAAAAACAGCCCTTTTCTATTTCCCATACAAACGTTTTTTTTGACATTAGATTTGACAACTAACCAATATGTCAATCATTCTGTCGCACTTCAAAACACGGAGATTTATGGCTTACAGGTAAACTCCAAAAATATAAATAAAAAAACGTAATAGATATTTCTTGATTATAGGGCGATACGAAGTTCGCCAGGTCTTCTAGTAGTTAATAAATGTTTTTAATGTGCAATAAGGATAAGTCAACAATAATAAAAGAAATACATATGTAATTTAAAAATGACTAATATCTTTATATATATAGTTCTTCTGTGAGTGTGTATGTCACTGAACTTTTCTCAAACGACTGGACCGATTTTGAAGAATTTTTTTGTGTGTGTTCAAGGGGATCTGGGAATGGTTTAGATTCACAATCGTGTCCGCTGGACAATGTTTTTTAAATTAATTTTTAATTTATTAGTAGTTGTTGATACAAAAGTTTTTTTTTGACATTAGATTTGACAACTAACTAATATGTCAATCATTCTGTCGCACTTCAAAATATGGAGATTTATGGTTTTAATAGATAAACTCCAAAAATATCAATAAAAAAACGAAACAGATATTTCTAAATTATAGGGCGCTACGAAGTTCGCTGGGTCTTCTAGTATATCATATAAATATATGTATTAGCTCCGATAGTTGTAAGCATATTATACTATTTATTTTTCCACAGATTTGGCCATGGAATTTCGTCTAGATAACAGAGGGGGCATTATTATAGTCAAATTTAGAAATACTTTGGTGACTTATAATCTTAAAACTTAATGTCGTTAATACTCATTATACAGTAAGAAACATAGAAGACCTTATTTTTCTATTTTATAGCATTTTTTTGTTTTGTAAATGTTACTGACTTATTTATAATTTCTTAAGGTAATGGATAAAGACTCATTTTTTTAAATAATTTAAACTGTTTTATATGTGTAAATTAAAAACAATTGGAAATGTATAGAAGGAGGAAACGATTGTATTAGTCATTTGCTCTCTGCTACCCAATTTTTTATAGAACACGTTACTAAGGCCATTTACAACGCAATTGACTTGTTTGTAACTAAATCCTATACGCTCATAAGATTATTAAATTTATTCCAAACTGTGACTTACAACTAAAACTAGTTAGAGACTAGAGAAATTTTATTAAATACGAAATTCAAAGCTAGTTTTCGTATCGATTCTGTTTAATGGAGTAGAAATCGAGACGGAGGTTTCGACGGTAATCATATCATACAGGTATCTTAAACATATGACATAACGAAATATGTTATTCTGTTTATGCTATAATTCACTTATAAATATGTAAAATAATTCTGAAATAAAACTATTGTCTTGAATGTAGCTTGCCTCATTGGATTATAATTTGACTTTTTATGTATTTGACTAATTAAGAAATTTCAAGCATAAAAAATACAAAAAAATGTTAGTGCATGTAAATGGTACCTTTATCTCTACTTCCATGTGAATGCGTGAAAGTTCATTTAAAATCTGAATGTCGTTTTTATTTACATACCTATATTTAAATATTAAAAATTTCTAACGTATAATTTATGTGACCTAAAACTGTTTAGTAACATCCGACTGATTTCAATTACAGTAAAATTTCAAAAATGTCAAGAATTTATTTTTTACGCTACGACTTCATTCGCACTGGAATCGTGGAATATTTTGCCAATGTAACGTTTTAAAGAAAATGTTGTTAGTGACATCAAATATATTTAATAATAATTTCAAGGTGGAAAAAAGATTTTAGTCCTAACTGTAGTATATAAATAAATTGTCTTCAATTAAAGTCAAAATAACTTACAACTGTCACTTCTCTTGATAGCATACCAGCGAAAATCATGGACGGGATGTGTCGTGTTAACTAGACACGTTCCAATAAAAACTCCGAATCGAATTGTCACTCGCCGTCAATAACGTCTGTTCCACTAATACACCATCAATAATCTCCAAACAGATCAGGCGTGTATACTTTCGCAACAGATTAATTACATTCTATTATTATTTTGTTGGGCGTCTTTTGACAAATCTGAAGTAACAACATTTCACAGGTTATTCATATTATAATGTACCTTTTTTCAATCAGTGTTCGGACTATAGAGATTATTTTGTTATTTTAAAGGCATATTTATCCTATATCTATTAATCAATGGCCTGGTAGAAACCTCTGTTTATATTTAACTCATTTGTGACATGTCGAACGAACGATCGAAGATATAACACTTTTATTTCGTAGAAGGCTCACAATGACACTGCTCTTTAATGGGAATTAAAAGGCAATTAGCCTTATTTTATGCTTTGAATACCTTCGAGGAATGTAACATTTTATTTAAACATTAATTCCACATTTTGTTTTGGAATCATAAAAATTTGCATCCAAAGTTTTGTTTTCATTATTAGAGTAGGCAATTACCTAGTATTATATTTAGGATGGCTATTTTAATGAAACTAATTGTAATATTAAAAATTGTATTTATTTTTGATAGCCGTGGTCATTCTTATTAAAACTATACATGATACCAATTTGTCTATATTCAGTAATCTTGTATAAGTAATAAGATGTTTCAAACTTAATGATAAATTGTACCATTTCTTCTCATGTCTATTATCGTGTACAAGGAAGCCTTAAAATATAAGAAAAAATTTAATATGTGTATCTTGTCAAAGTACGCAATCTGAAATATGTTGCTATTCCTCTTATTACTTTACTTTTAAAATTAAAACAATTTTTAGTAAAAAACAATATTTTGACAAAAGTAAACAATTTCTTTAATAAAAAAAGTTCATACACAGCATAGGTAAATACACAACTGGTTAGAATAAACCTTCAGAGCCTATAGAGCAATTACTTAAGGTGATCGACTTTCAAAGCCATTGTCAATAACGTTAAAACCTCAAATTACATTAAAGTGCCTACAGATAGGTACACCATACTCGTATTATCCTTTAGTTCTTTTTTGGCACGAGTCTAAACTGACACATATAAAGATGAAAGGAAATATCTTTAAGATACACTTTTCAGATTAAAAAAGGTATAAGAACATAAAGTGATATTAATACTATAACTTGCAAAATATATATGTATATAAATTGGTAAAAATTTAATTGAACGGGGAATATTCAGCCTTTTATCTTTCAGCCTCCAGCAACAAAAAGCTGCGTTTTATGTCCCACAAGAGAAATGGCAGTCGAAACGATCATTGCAGTATTTTAATGGCTTACACGTCAGCTGTTTGATTCGATGCCTTATTTAAAATTCCCTTCTATCTAACTTTTATCTGATGTAAAAGAAAAACTTTTCAGACCTTATTTCAAAATTAATAAGTTTGTCATATATGGAATCCGGAAAATTTGTTTTTAAATTAATAAATCAAAACGTATAGAAGTACTCTAAAATCATGAATATTTACAAAAATTACGTATAGGCCTAGTGCCTGAAAAAGCTGGAATATGCAAATTTTTGGCTAAGCCACATTTATTGACGCTTTTATTAACTTGTCCTATTAGTATGCGTAAAACTTTGAAACTGGATTTTTAATTAATTATATATCAACAAGTAACTGTAATTAATATGGTAGTCACTTGAATTATTTGTTATTTATATGAAAAGTTATAAAGATATTACTTAACCTATCTGTTCATTAATGTGTCAAAACGCAGTTTGTTATGACGTAACCAGCAAATTAGCTTTCTACGACGCTTTTCATATCGTCATAAATACTTTTAATTATCAAAGTTGTGTTCTATATACATTTCTTTATTCGGTTATTTTAATTTTATTATTAGTTTGCTTAATATATTTTTATCAAATATGACAAAAGGTAAGATAGATTTATATGGTTAAATAGAAAATGAAACTTACAATTACCAAGGCCAAGTACTAAAGTGAGATACCTTTAAATTAAGAAGGGAACTGGTACCAGAAATTTTAAAATAAACTGTAAACAATGTAACGGTTGTAAAATATAAGTCACTAAATCAGTGTTTTAAATGAATTACTTTCAAAAATTTCTTTGATATTTTCACTAATATAATTTTTGGTTCATATCAATTTAAACCTATATTTAATGAACTACGAGTATGATTAAAAAACCTAGAAATCTAGAAGACAGAAAAGGGCCAAACAAAGTATATAACTTGGGCGTTAAGTCTTGGAAAGGTGACTAATACAGTGGATTAAACTTATTGAGTAAGCTGGCACAAGTAAGATACTTAATTGTACTATTAATTGCCTCTGAAAGTAATACTTACTCTTTGGAAAAACAAGGAAACTTATGATGGAAATTCATTAAGTATAAGTTAAATATGAATTGTTAGAGATTTACGGGTTCATGCTTAATAAAAAAATATAATAATTCTCTTGGAGTTAAATTACAGTCACATTATGAACAACGATATTCATAGAAAATGTTACACAATATTTCACAATATTAAAATTGAAACTATGAATAAAAGTTTTGACTTAAGGGTTTCTTTAATTCTTCACTGTTCCTTCAATTTACGCTGTGGATGTTGTCAATAGTAACAATATTATTTATAAAATAATCTGAAAATCAAAAACCTTCATAGCGAAAGGGATGTTATCAATAATAAAATCCCTTAGCTTAAAAGTCATAACAAATAACAATTACACAAAACATTTATCATATTGTTTACATACCATCTATTCTTATATAACATCATCAGATTTCAGCAGATTTATGATTCCTTTTCATAGATAGTGAAACTTTCCTATATTAAGCTTGAAGAACGTAATACAACCAGCATTTCAAGAAAATGTGGTAGTTCTAATCCCCACTTCATTCACTTATATTCCAATCCAGAGAGAACTAATACGGGAAGAGTATATAGATCATGGTAACAACTTAGTATGAAGAATGTCTATATATTATATAAAAAAGTTAATTACGATATATATTTAAATATTATACTATTGATCTCTCACGTCAATTTATGATCGCAAAAATCTTTTATCCCGACATCTATTCTTTTTTATTCAATAATATAAGCATTTTTTAAAGATGGGTCTAAAAATCATTATGAGATTATATAATAATTCCTTACGCCACTGTAAACACACATAACACTTGAATCGCATATATCGTATGCACATGACAAGTGCTGTGTTTCAATATTGACATTTTAGTAACATGCATGGCTCGAGGGTGTGGGTGATCAACATCTGCCGATGGTAAAACCATAGCCACATTTGTGGTGAAACAAACTGCTATCGCATAAAACATATTTGAACACTTATCAATTTCAAAAAGTTTAATTTAATTCTTTATTGTATAAATCCTGAGTTTTAAAATTAAGAAAATAATTGTTGATTTTTTTTTTAACTTAATGACTTTTTGTACCTTAATCTTCTCTGCACGATTTTGATGAGTGTATTTTTGCAGCCGCATCCGTTTTGTCAAAACCGAGCCGATCTGCGGTCAAGAAGCACGTGCAGTTCCCTGATGAGCAGAGTTGCATCGAAGAAGCGTCAGAAGTGCCCGCCGAGGAAAAATCAGGTCAATGACTAAACTTTCATTAAATTTCCCAAGCGTAATTATACTGATCTTCATTTGCTTCAGAAACCAAAGATGTTTATATAAATTATGAAGAAGAAAACGAAAAAGTAATTAAAAACTGTAATGAAGTATCGGGAAAACGCCTGTTTAACATATTCAAGGGTTAACCTTAGTATAATTGTAGAAATTTTGTTCTTAATAGCCCTCAATGTTTTGTTCCAATAAAAATCTTCGCGAGACCTTTCCTAATAAAATTATACCTATATTCGTTGCCTTGCAGCCGAAGAAATATATTATGCAAATATTTGCCATGTCAATTTATCTGTATCATTGAGGTACATCAGAAGCATATTTATTATTCTATTTTGTGTAGAAACTTCATTTAACTTTAAATTGCATGATAATTTACGGAAGACTCTGAAGTTAGCTAAGAGAGAACGTCTTACGAAACATTATATCCCTGTTTCTTGAGGGTGAATAATTAATTTTCTTATTTTAAAAACAAACCTTAAATAGAGCACTTCTTGTCACGATAATTACAATTATACTTGACATCAATAAATCTGTAGCATATAGCGTGTATAAAGATAAAACTAGTTAGTAAACTAAATAACTATTTCCGATCAACCGATTTCCCTTGATCAGTGTTCGTGGTCCTCTGATTTTCTCCGACATCCCCCGCCTTCCCCCGACGTCTGTTGGCGCCGATTTCGCTCATGTAATAGCTCCATCGAAACTTCTTGATCACTTTCAAACTATTTCTCGTTAATTGATGACAGAACTTTGTCAGTGTATCTGATCCCAAAAATTTTGGCATTTTAATCATCTAGAACTTTCTGAATCTGGAATGATATGACGGTATAATATCAGTTTCATACTTCTTTTATTAATTTAACTTCTTATAATGTAAATTTCTTTATTCGCCATGAAGAGATTCATTAAAATAATTATGTAAAGTAGAGAAATATCTCAGATAGTTTTAGTTTGAATTTTATTTTACCAATTTTAAGTTCAAAGTATGAAAGAATCTTCGAGAATATGCAATATTTTACATGCTCACGTTGATGTAAAATTTTGCTAATACCAACGCTCCTATATAAATAAAGTAGGAGGTAAGTAGGTATTCTAGCTTAAATTTAAAATATCACAAAGTTTACATAAGTCAAATAATTATAAAATCAGAAAATACTTTAAAAAGACGACTTTTATGTCAAATTATATATTATTAAGTGGAATTACCTCATTAAGATACGACTCACAATTGGAAATTTCCTCTTCTTTAATTGAATATCGAATGTGATATTTTTGTTTATATACGAATAAACACAAAGAAAGTGGTTTAATTAAAACATTTTCTTAATTATTTTTTTTGCTAGTCATTCTATTATACAAATTAACACTCTTGTCGTATAAAGTTGTTTTTTATGAACTTACTTTTTTCAGCGAACAAGGTATTCATTTCATATCACTTTAAGTATCTAACATAATCATTTGAAGACTATTTTACTCGGTTATGATTTTATTTCGACACAATCTTAGTAATTAATAATACTCAGATCGTGTCGAAATATGATATTCCTTAAGAAGCAGTACTTTGTTTTCGGCCTCTTCAGAATTAATTTCCCTTCAGCTTCAAAAAGCTATAAATTCCAATTATAAGTTAGAAACCCGGGTTTACCTTTTAGAAGAGTTCGTATAAGGTGACCTCGTGTCGCCATAAATGTATACTAATTCCAGTATTTTATATAAAAGTATTTTTCGATTCACAAGCTTAATTTTTCACAATTAATCATCACAACGATCATGAACATTGTAAAATACATTCAATAACGAACAGGCTGTGCTTACTGCGTGATTTTAATTATAGGCCATCGAATATACAAACAAATTATTTTACATTTTTCGTTGAGATTGCTTCCAAATTAATATAAAATATAGAACTTAAATTCCATTGGATATACTAGTACAAGAGAACACTGAGCAAGCAGATGCAAAAAAATACGTTGTATTTCTTTTCAGTTGTTGCAAAATTTCAATGGTGGTATTTTTTTTGTTAATGAGGTGTATAGCAACTTTTGACTGTTCTTGTCAATTCACATGAAAAGTACTATATATGTATATGTAGGTGTGGTAGTATATAATAAACTACTTGCGGCTCCCTAAGGAAGACTGAATAACGTTTAACTAGTCAATCCCTTTACCCGCTGAGGAAATAACACATCCGTCATGAATAGAAATCCTTCTACAAGTAGTAAATTAGTTCTGTAATAATATTTTAGTTTTACATATTGTGTGACGTAACGTATACGTAAGTATATAAATTAAAATCACAATTCAAATCAATAAAATAAAAGTGATGAAGATATAACTATGTAGTAATGTCACATAATTATATAAAACCTGTATGTAGGATTATATGACTATATGACATTTATATTTAACTGTGTTATAATTTTTTCATATTTTTTGTCCAATATTCCTAAATCTATTTTTCAGTTACTCTTTGTGAAACAATCTTAAGAAAATGCTTTGACGGAGATAGAATTCTTACAGCAATCGTCAGACTCGATTTTATGACAGAGTTGTTAAAAATCTAAACTTTGTACGGACGATAGCCATCAAGAATAAAATTTAAAACGGTCTTTGGAATAAAATGTTTATAAATCATCAAATCTGTCGATTACCGCTGTTGGTTTGAACATTTAGTATTTACATTTAAATAGACTAACATAATAATATTATTATATTTATATGACATGTTTGCCATTAATGATAACCAATCTGATACGACTAATTTATATTGACAAGCCATTCCAAACGCGTCGGTAGGTACCTTTATTTCGTAGAAGAACGTTTCCAATGTTCCTAACTTAACATTTTTACTATAAAAAAACATAAGCATGTTAAGTGAGCCCCCTATATTTCTTAATATCAATTGTATAACTGGTGCTATATTCATGATTGTACCATATAAGAATGTTCAGTTATCATTAATATGTAATCGTGATGCAGACCGGCGCGTGATCAGCTCTTTGTGGATGGAGCTGGAGTCTGAAACGCCTGCACCGGAGCGCTGACGGCGGCGAAGCGAGCAGTACCACCGGCCGGTGACACGAGCTCGCATCGAACGACGCAAGATGTCCGCCGTAGGGGTGCCGCCCGCTACCAAGGATTCCTATTTGTAAATCCCATCAAGACATTCTATCCGTCTGATAGAAAAATCATCGAACTATTTTCTTAATAGTGAAATTGTCATTTGGTCTTAAAAGCATATATACCTAAATTATAACCCGATTCAAATGATGTTCCCCTTTCGATATTTTAACATCGATATATTATAGCTTGAAGTGTTTTTTCTGAATATTAGGTACTGTCGTTGTTTAAAATAGAAGCAAAATTATCCTAAATCATAGTGAAAAGTTATAGTTCATTTTATCTTTTCTTGTCACAAAATTTTGATATACGATTTAATAAAAATTTCAATTTGACCACCATGCAATAATATCGAACTTAACTAATTTAAATTTAATGGTTGAAAATGTTAAAGTATGTCATTTTAGATAACACAACTTTAATCAACGTCAAATTCCTTGCATTTTAAAGGTTAATTAATTATAGCTAAGTCCTTGATGATATTTTAAGAGTAAATTAATTTTTTGACAGTAATGAAGGTTGCTTGGTAACTATAGCGGTATCGGAAATCCGTCACTCAAATACGATGCAACACTGGGTAGATTAATCAGGCCCAATTTTGGTACATAAATTGCATTATATCCTTTACCCTACTTACATAATCATTTTTATAAAAGTCAATGTAATCATAATAAATAGATGTTATTTCGTAATGCCAGCTCGAACGGGCACGATCCCGACACCATTATTTATGACATCAATACCTTATGTTTTGATATATGGCTGTATTTATTCCCTAATCAATACAAAGCCACGTACGCAGAGTGATTTCGTTGTTTATTTTTACAGAAGCGGTAACGTTTTTTCCTAACAGTGTAAATTATGAGACGGGAGCTGTTCAATCGTATAGAAAATAATTGCTCACTCCTGTTCTATAAAAATATATTGCTATTATTTATTACTGAAATAGCTGATCAGAGAACACCATCAAGCTTAATATTTAACTCTGGGTCATAATCTCTTGGATATTTTCTTTGCTTTTAAGCCATACAAAGTTGTCAAGCTTAATACAAACATGATAAGGGAGACTTGTGTGCTGACATCTGTGTGCACAAGCATTAATTAAAGGAAACGACGTTTAGTCGGGCCAAGTTTGTTTTGTAGTTTTAATATGTAGAAGTACACATTGATGTCTTGCCCTCACTTTTGTAATAAACTAAGATGATTTATAAAATATATTTTACTTGACACTTCATACAGTGTCAGTAATTAGACATTTAATATAGTTTGAAAAACAGGGCCGCAAAGAAATATAAAACCTATTTTAAGTTAGTTATATTTCACGAAGCTGTTACAATTCTATAGTATCGTAATTACCCTGTCACTTGTAGATGACTTCCATTGAAGATTAGATGAGGGACTATGTGTGACAAATAATAAGTCTATTCTAAATACTATTTTTGGAGTAATTTCGTATTAGAAGTCAGCTTTGAACTATAATTTTATTTCAAATAACTATAAGGTGACCAAATAAAGGACCACAAGATGTGTACCGTGTAAATTGTATCTCTGGGCAGTCGAATACTAGTGAAATGTTATGTATTTGGGTAAAATATTAAAAAAAAATAAGTATAGGGCGATCGTATTGCCAGAGAACAGGGTACTCGAGTGGTAAAGGAAAGTTTTCGAAGTAAGTTTAGCGATTATAATATAATAACTTATGAATTTTAATTTAAAAGAAATGTGTTTTGTAAATACTTCTTATATCCGGCTAAGCTCCTTGTTATATTAAATCTAAGTCATATTCGTGTTGTTAGTTTATTATTGTTTCTATCTAGCATTAAAAGTTTTATGAAATACTATAACAATATCGTATATTGTTTAATTAAAATGGTTGTCTAACTTATAACAGAGTTTATTTATGAAGGTAGTAAAATTATATTATAAATGACTTTATTTCCTATGATATCGTTTAGATTTACGGTCTGTTAAGGCAAATAATGTTGTTTTATTGCTTATAATTGTAGTTCATAATCAAATAACTACTATTATAATGGTAAGGATAATTAAATTCTGCATTAATAATTACATATTTAAAAAGAACTGAAACTTTCGCTTCTCATGTAATTCTTTTGCCAAATTTATTTAAAGATTTTCTATGTTAAATAAGATACATACTATTCTATGTGAATGATAATATTAATGTGTCAAAATTATCAATGTTATAAGCGAAAATGTTGTATGTACCCTTTAGATTATGTGTGTATCTGTAATCACATTAAAAACAGAATAAATAGTGTATAGCTGATCTGTTTTTTATTTCGCAACAGTGCATTTTAATTAAAATTGAACATTTAATTTTAGTAAATTTCACTGATACATTTACTCGACGTCTGTTTTCGGAGTATTTTAGAATTATTTCTTGATATGCTTGAACGTTCCATTAAATAGCATTGTTCTCTGTTCTAAAACGTACCCGCTGGCTATATGTCTAACTGGAACATCGTACAAATAAATTCACGATTTTCATAATATATTCGCATATTCCATTTGAATATTCGAAAGGATTGTTTGTTGTGTTCGGCATACATATTGTATTAAAACGGCAGGTCTCTTGCAAAAAGCATTTACGCGCTTGCATTTTCAATACACACACTTTTTTGTTAGGTGCTATGCAAAAAGTCATACAAAATGTAATATAATAAACATAGACCAAGCATTCCTCTCAATTATGAACTTCAAACGAACTTATTATGAAGTTCAATCTGTCGTATTAGTACTTTACACGTAGGAGTTAGTAAAGTTACATCGGCAAACTGCAAAGATCAAAGTTTTGTTAATTAAGAAATCTTATAAACTGAAATCTTATTTAGCCACAAAAAAGTTACTTTTGCAACGTGTCTGGAAAAAACATAAGTCTCTTTAAGTGGTACCAAAAGTATGATAGAATGAAATGCAAAATACTCTCTTATTTTCTTTGATTCTCAATATTCTTATCATTGCATGAAAGGAAAAACTAGGTACATAACTTTCTTTCTAAATTTATTTTCTAATGAGAATTCCGGCTAAAATTCTATGATTGATATTTAATTCGATTTGATATTATTTATACGGAGTGAATTTCCAATCATTCGACAACGTTTTCTGTTGGCTTTTTCTTTCATCCTACGAAAAAAGTTTTGTGAAAATTAATTATGTGCTGTCTTTAGTTAGTGTTTCTAAGTGTATACCTAGTTTTCATAATACTTGCTATCAATTATTGTAAGTTTTTAGAAGACTTCTATGATTTTGATAACAGTTATAATTTTAACGACACATTATTTTTGTTTCTTTTATTATCTAAATTAATTATAAAGCAATTTAAAATCCGATCAGTATTCACTCTTTGCCTATTAACTATATAATACAGAGACATTATAACTTTTTCTTTTTTATGTTATTATAACAATTATTAGATCAAAAACTGATATTGTTAGAACATTACAGTTAACGTCCTTTGTCTTCAATACAAGACATATTCTGTGAGTTAGTCCGCGTCATACACACTGGTCAGATTCACTTCACGGCCGAGCAATAAAAGGGAAACAAATAAAACAAGTCTGTCAATACAAGATTATATTAGGTCGATACATTGTTAAGGAAAATTCGTTTTAAATGTAAACCAAAACTAGAGTTAGCTTCGACTCCACCTATAAAATAAAACAATCACCGGCGACTCTTAGACGAGGACTTCGCACAAACATAATAACATATTAAGGCGCGTTAATTATTTTTTAATATATTATGTTTGTTCAATGTCATTTTATTTGTGCAGAGTCTGATATTACGATGAACTAAAACAATATATATTTGTGCTATCCCATTTTAAATGAGTTATTTGAAACTACGGCGACCGCATCGTAATCTTTCAGATTATCATATTATTTATATATAAAGAAATAATAAATATTAAAATATATACCGACAAAATTTTTCAAAGCAAATACACCCGAAGAATTGAGAGTGCTGTTATTACGTTCAATTAAAGCATTTACATAATTCAGTCAAACTTTTTAACTTAACGATACATTCATTTTATTATACGTAACAAACAGTTTTCACAGCTATAACAAGATATAAAAGTGCATTAATTTATCTATAGCGTATTATACTGCAGTGATTCACTTAAGAACCAAGCCGTGTGACATTGTTACGTTGCAGTTGCATCCAATAATTGAATTTTTAATTAAATACCGGTTATGATAAAACTACAACATCTACATAAATATTACGTACAGATCTACAACCAGGTTTATATAGACGGGTATGATTTAATGGATAGGTTAGTTATATACCGGGTACTATATACGAGGGTGTGTGTTGCCGCATTCTATTGCACGGCCTTCGTACAAATAATTTATGGAATACATTAGAACGTACGTTTTACATAAATCCTGGTACTACAAAAGAAATCTAATTAAACTATTTTATTAACTTATTAGTATATATCGGATACAGTTTTTAATATAAATGTATACTATAATAAAATTCGAGTGTTAATTAAAACCACTAAACGTACACAAACTCATACATTCACCAAAAAAAACATACGAATGTTTGAAAATTTTGTTACTCGGCTACGGTTACAGTATTGCTACATTAAAGCTATCAACTAACAATGATACAAAGCACTTGGTGTGTCGCGGACATTAATCTATCATTACAAATACGGTAAGTACATTAAATGGATTAAAACATTTAAAATAAATAGGATTTACAGTGAGTGTGAGTGTTAAATATAATTTTTTATGACGTCAATGTATTTTGTGACTTATAACAATGATTATAAAGCTCAACATTAATAAAGCACGTTAACATCAAGTTTAGCGATCACCTTGATTAATATAATACAGTCGATACTAACCAACATCGTTTAAAATCTTTCAAATAAAAAACATTTATTTCCTTGCTAAATATCAAAGGCAGATTATTCAGCACAATGAAACAGTAATACAAGGTAGAGGGTATGACATATAGGCCCCGAGACACGTATCGGACACGGCTGAGCGTGAATTAGTAGGAGAGACAAATAGTAGGTACCATTTATTCGAGATTCGAGCCCGAGTGTGACGTCACACCAGCTCGATGTGATCCAATCCGCTATACAAGTTTATATACGACACAGTCCAATTTATAGTGGCGGTATGGTCCATAGAACAGCTGTTTTATCAGCTGACGTTGAAAGGAATGAGAAGTCATCTGGATGCCAGCGGGCTGAGATCACTTTGTCAGGATGACGAGCCACTGGTACGCTAGGAAGTGCGCACGTGAGGTCACCTAAATACAATACACACATCAACCACACTGCAACTAACTTACATATATAAGAGAAAAATTCTTAAACATGTTATATATCCAAGTTAAAACAGATCGTATTTAATATTAATTTCTACATTAATATATATCCAGTACAACGAGAAGCATATAAAGCTCTATTCATGATCAAGCATCAATAACACTGTCGGCTTATCATCACTAGACAGACGGCACTGGAAAGTCAATGATTGTACTGGTGTAGTGCTGGTGTACTATGATTTATGTTGGATTAATTTCAATAGAAACCAACTCGCGCCACGGCCTTTGTAAGACTATTGATTAAAATCCTACATCAGAGTTGTAAAATAACCATTGCGATACAACATACAAAACAATTAATACAGCGTAATTTTTTGTCAATAATGTATAGATATTTCATATTAATCATAATATAGTCTTGTAATGAAATTTAAAATGTATGTACGAGTTGGATACGTCTGTAATGACAGAACTTATGAGACAAAACGACGAATATTTTAAAAATATGTATATAAGTATATAAATACCTTGAAGATCTGTAAGTACTACACGTCCATCGTATCCTGCTGTCAGTAAATAGTAAGCTCCGGGCGAGAAACGCACTGATCGTACATCACCCGCGTGTGGCGAGAACCGCTGTAAAGAACGAGATCCTCGCACGTCGTGTAGACCACACCAACCATCTTCATGACCAGATACTAAGAGACGACCACTCGGGTCCACTGCTAAAGACGCCACTGCTGACCCCTACACACACACACATAGATATACTACTTGTATCATCGACATATACTAATGGACATGCCTTAGAGATGAGAATTGTGGCACTCCGAAAGAAAGAGAGGAAACGAAGTTTCGGTCTATCTTTATCTCTCTCAAAACAGTACCGTACTGACTGAGCGCCAATCATCTATGAGGAAAGAGAGAGTGCTAGACCAAAAGCATAGGCCATCTCTCTCACTCTTTTCAAAAAAAAATTTATGAAGATTAGTATAATTAGTATAATATGCGTACGGCATGTCCATTAGTATATGTCGATGGCTTATATAACATTCGCTCAAACTCGTTTTAAATAAACTAAGGGTAAACGAAAACAAATAACTTCATGTTAACTTCACATTGAAAATAAACGATTTCAAATCTTTCAGACTCAAACATTTCAGTTACTTGCGACAAGAAGATAGTTTATATTTGCTATCAGTAAACGTCTTTTAGATCTACTTTATGTGGTACAGTTTGCAGCGAGGTGTTTTCAATATAACTTATTATAGGGACAAAGTTATCCAGATGTATGTACGAGTTAAGACGTTGAGAGATAATAAGAAGTAGATTATAGAAATAGCAAACAGTTATTTTTGTATTATATTATCCAGTTATTGGAATACTATTCATAGAATATATAAAAATATTTTTCGACGACCCATACTGATAAACGAGATTAGTTATTTGTTTAAACATAATATTAATTTTATGAAATATTGAGAACAATTCGAAGAATCCTTTTTACTTTTCTATATAATTATTCTTTTAAGCTATTACTATGAGAAAAGATTTATCAATAACAATGTATTTAAAAAATCTATATAGTTATTGGTATAAAAAGGTTCTTCTGCGAACAAAGTTAGAGGCTAATTTTAATTACTTTTATATCACACTAAAGACATGTAATAGCATGTTGTACTTAAATACTTGCTTAATTTATTTACGTTACAAATATTCTCAAATTCAACGTGAATGGAGTCGCAAGCGAAAGCGAGTCACTTATAATTTATTAGGAAAATTCACATTATTATAACTCCACCAATAAACTAAAATTATGCTAACCTAACAAATCTATTGTTTTCAAGTAAAAATTCTGTTTACGGAGCAACATTGCAATAAAAATAATTATGACATACATACATCTAGGAAGAGATTTCATTGTTGTATTTATATAAAACACGTCATATTTCTCATAATATAAAACTGAATAACTAATAAAGACTATTACTATTGTTAGCTACACTACAAAATGAACAAGTATCTAATTCACAGTCAAAGTCTTTAAACATATAACAATTGGATTTTCAGTTTTCTGAATCCTTAATTTATGTTAGCCGTATGACGGTATTTTCGTGATTGATTTATATCGAGGACGTCATCTGAACGGCAATAAAAAGATGCTGACGAGACATCTCCCTACATCTCTTAAGACATCAAAGACTTCGCTATAAAAAATTGTTATTCAAACAATTTGGGAAATTTCCCCAAGTTTTTGGGAATAATGACAAGTATTCTGAAAGCATTGTGCTTTGCTAAGCTTAGATTTCGAAAATAACTCTATAAAAACATTTTATTTATTTTATAAACATTATTGTCTATTTAATTATATTTTAATATAACTTGTGACGTTCTACCTTTTTTATTACATAAAATGTTATTGCAGGTCAATTTAAATTTTATAGATCCATAAAACAAATTTAATGGCTTGATCCCAACCTATGATATTAACATATTTATATATATTTTTTTATACTATAAAATATCAACGTAATTACAAACTACAGAAAAGTGTACAAATGATGTGTCAATTTCATTGTGGTGAGTTATGTTTTGAAGTTATTTATTTAAGTCTCATACCTTGAAAATCTTTTTTGTAACCATTTAAAGGAATAAGCTGAACTTATACAATAATCCCCTACTGAACTCTAAGGAAGATTCTTTTCAATTTGGTTCGCTTTTTATCGTAACATGAATATATGTTAAATTTTCTTAACATCATAGTTTAATCAAATAATTATATAAACAATATTATAATATTGGAAATTGTATAACGTTTCTTAAATGCCAAAAAAATTTAGAACAATTTTAGACAAAGTGAATTTAAACCCCATAATATAAGTATCAGTTCGGGATATTGAAACGTATTAAAAATATAACTACAGAATAGTACATTGTAAAAATAATGGATGTAGCAGATTTTTAATGATATGACCATTTTGGATAGATCATTTGAATCATGAATATCCTACTAATATTATAATTGCGAAAGTTTGTGAGTGTGTGTGTATGTTTGTTACTTCTTCACGCTCAAACGACTGAACCGATTTTGATAAAATTTTGTATACAGGAAGCTGACGTCCACGAATAACACATAGTCTACTTTACATCCCGGAAATCCGCGGGTAACACCGCGGGACGCAGCTAGTAGTTGATATAATATAATGTCTTTGGTGATACCTTCGCATGCTGTCCAGCCGGCGGTGGTGCGATCACGTTGACACAACCAGCTGTTCTCAGATCCCAGAAGCGAACACTCCTATCCTGACTTCCTGACACGAACAACGCTCCACCCCAACTATATAGAGACAGCACGTGGCCGGAATGACCGCTCAGCGCCTGCTCGTTAAAAGCAAAATATCTTTCTTTATATACAAATCAAATAAAAATTTTGATAAGATCAAAAAAATTTAAGTGATAATATAGCTTGTAGCATGGTTCATCTATATTAAGTAGCACTTAGCAAAGTGAAGTAGCAGGCACAGGTGTTTAATTTTGACGTGTGGAAGTGCTGGAAGATAGCACTATATTTTGCTCCCTTTTCAACTAACAGCTTATAATCTTTAAAGCGACAATGCACCTGGTGCTAGTGACCAGTTTTCTTGTCTGTAACCTTAATAGAGTATAGAATTCAGGTTCGTACCTGGAAAGTCTTCCCGGTAGCGCAATCTGTGACGTATATCTTGCAGTCCCCAGCTCCGCCACTCACGAGAAGGCTGGTTTTGTTCGAGGTGTCCTCTATAAAGCACACATCACGGACCGTGCCGTCATGCATAGTCAGCTCAACCTACCAAGAACGTGGTATAATAAATGACATAGGAATATTCCAATCATCTCAGCGTACATTGCAATTAACTTAATAATAAACTAAAGCTAAATAAACATACATTACAGACGAGAAAAATAAATACAAAATACGTTCTGACTAAACAACAGTTTAATAAGGCTTGCATAACGTGACATCGTCGTTGGAAAAAACCAATTTAGATAATGTTGAAACGATGCGAACATCCAACAATCAACCCACGTCTCGATGACATACACACTAACTAGAACGATATCTTATCTCATTAAGAAAGGACGCTATTTACTCTAACTTATTTATATCATAGTTTATTTAGACTACAAATACTATGATGACATGTGCTAAGAATTCCGTCTGCATTTGGTCACTCGTTATTTGAGTCAAGTCTATCGTTGATTCTTATAATTGGGTTATGTTTTTATGTATCTTGTTGACGACAATGTTACGTTAAGGCCGTGACGTTTTAGTGATTTATTAAAATCGTGGGTATAAGTGAATCACGCATTATAGTCATCCTTCTGAAAATTCGCAACTAAGTACCATTTGATCCTTGGCTTTTTGCTCGCTTATTACAAGTTTAAAGCTGCATTATAGTTTACATAATGGAAAGTACTTTGTAAGATTTTTCTAGAACACTAAACTTGGACCAAGATATAAAATAATTTGTAATTTGCGGTTTATAATAACGTCCTTTGAAAAAATTCACAACAGCTGACGAATAATTCTATACAAGGTAAATGATGCAAACCAAATCTCGTCAAGGAGACATTAGACGTACAGTTAGTGGTACATTTATTAGTAATTCAAGTAAACATGTAATGTCACTCGGTACAAGCGGGAAGTGTTACAATTTATAATTATAACTGAAATACATTCCTCAGCCGCGTTTAATATTTGAGTACGCTCAATCCAGAGCGCCATTCGTGTTTCACACAACGTACACATTAAATTATGGACAAAGTCTATCTGTTTTGATCAAATATTCAGCACTGATTAAGATGAACGGGTTAAACGTTCAAAAGCTTTACCGATTTTAATAATAGTTTTGCCAATTATTGACGACAATTTTATAAAATTTTAATATCATATTTTTTACTGTGAGTGATGACTTGTTGTTGTTAAGCTTACATTCGTTTTTTTATATTTATTGTTATTATTTATTGCTTCTAAAGGTTAAACATACAGAGAATGTTCCCTTTTATTATAGTCAAGTGCATGCACGATGAATAAGTCTCTAAGTGCCGTATAAATTAGAATTTTATGTTATATCAGTATAAGGCACAAAATTGAATATACATAACATTGGCTTCTTATTTAAATACATAAATCGCCTCCTCACCTCCTGTCCTTCCAGGTTGCAGGTGTGGCTGTTGAATCTCATGAGCTTAACTGTCTTGTCATTGGAACCGGTGGCCAGAAGATCTCCGGCCGGGCTCCAGGCCAGGCAATAGATGCTGCCTTTATGGTGCTTAGTGCGTTTTAGCAGAACAGTTGGCGCTGTGGGTGAACTATTGTCTCTGTGGGGAAGATTGATAATAACTTGAATAATTTTAAACATGATCTATCTTTACTCCCGTACTATGAGTATAAAGACGCTTAGATGGTAGCAAAACCTTCTACTTAATATATACATATATTTGCATTGTGATTCATCAACTAGTTTTTTAGAATTTATCATAATTATGCATTATTAACTTTGTATCTAATTAACAAATAAAAAACATCTGGAACAATTGCATCGATCTGAATGAAAGGCTGACGAACTAACAACTCTACTATCTGGTGAAAACATGCGCTGCATAGGTTTCATTAAAGATGTTCAAGTATCTAGCTTATCACAATTGTCTGATGTTTTATTATTGCTATTAACTTAATAGCGAGCTACTAGTGTTGCTGTAACTATGATTACTTGCGGTAAAAGACAAATTACTATTTGTAGGAGCGAAAATATTTTATAAAATGTGCTCTCCTTTTAGCAAAAGTTACAAGATGGGTTTTCAAGAGTACTGTAATTACGAGATATCTCATTTCAATTGTTAGTACTGAATAACAATAGAGATATGAGGATCCAGGAATATCAATAGGAATTCAATATTAAGTAATTATAAAAAAGTAAAATGAACCCTTACGAAGAGCAAAACCCGCCAGACCGTGGTTCATCAAAAAGAATAAATTTACATATTTACGTAATAAGCTATAACGTTACATATATATTACAATTCTATAAAATTGAACTTTCTTTATAATAACTAAACGTTCAAAGTACTACATATAACGCAATAGCTTAACATGAAATATTATGGTCATGCTGGAAACTAACGTTCAATACCTTTTATCGTTATGCCTTGCAATATATGATTTTATTTCACTTTAAGAAAATTGTCTATAACTACGGTGAATAAGCGAAATTACATACGAGAATTATTTTAATACTAAGCTACGATGTGTGCTATGAAGCGGTCACATAAGTCAATAACCATTCCACTAAGTAACGGATAGCGAGACAGACAATTGAATATTGGAAAAATAAACATTCAACTTTTGTCTAAATAAAGATGTTTTCATTATAACTTCGTATACAATACGAATGTCGCATTAGCATTTAAACAAAATAAAATACAGAAGATCCAGTTTCAAATAAAAATGCTTTGTTGATTCGAGTTCGTCATAACTTCCATTATGTACACGTCTATATTTCCAAATTCTTCCAAATCCCCCATAACGAGAGCTGTCAATATTTAATTTTGTGACCAAAAATATTTGTGGAATTCAATTCCATTATGATTCCCTTTATAAGAAGCTAAAATATTCAAGACAAATAATTATTATACGATGGTAGCTTTGTTATGTGGAATTAATATCATTCTTTATATTTCAAATAACTCGTATATATTTTCAGAGATATCTCAAAAATATATGATTCTCATTTAAATCAGTAAAGTTTGAATATGTACTTGTATTATATTAATAGGCTATCAGTTATTTCACAAAACGGTTAACTTAAGTTCTACCACGTGAGAAATCAATGTATTCCATTTCGTTGATTAGATCGGATATAAGATTATTAATCATTGAATATAAAATACAGCTTTATTATAAAATATAGTGTTTCAATATACGGTATGAAAATGATAGGAATATAATATAATAGAGCTCGAATCATCTACTTAGATATAAATATAATTCCTAGTAGAGTTTCACGAGTTATCTGATCGTTAGGTGTGCAGTAATAACTATAGCCATCACTTTCAACGTGTTTAACATGCTCTGCGCGTTGCTTGCACAATTCATGACTCATAAGAAAGCTTTTTCTATAACCGTTCTATAACACCATAACCATGTTCTTGTAATGTACGTGTGCTGTTCGTGCCATTTGTCACACTTAATTGCTGTTGTGAAACAGCAATTTTTTCACACAATATTAGTTGGAGGTTACATAATTTTAGAATATTCAAAGAAATTAATTTGTAAGTTGGTTTTTCTACATTATGAACGGAAATAGATAATAAACAGGCTAGAATCAATAAAACTGTGTGAGTCCAGAATAAAGAAAATTACAAATTATCAAATATAACTAGCTCTGCGCATTGGTACAACAACGATACGCTTTCTAGCGCTAAACAAACAACATACATGTACAACTGAGGATTGTGAACTCAATAATGTTATAAATAGTAACTAACAGTCATTATGAGAATTTAATAGATAAAGATTTAGAGAGAATTAAAAATTTTCGTATACAATTTCAATAGCATTCATATGTTCCATCATAATGTATGACATTTATTCACAGTTTAGATCTTATAGAAGGCATCTTTCATTAGCCTTATTTCCCATTCATTTATGAGGTTTTATTTTCATGAATTTTAAAAATATACACAACGCAAATATTGTATCATTCACCTTAACCAAAAACAATATTGACTAGATTATTTGTATGAAAACTAAAAAAAAAAAATTATATACGATCTTACATGTGTATTATAACGATTATAAAATATATAATAACTAAAGAGGTTATCGTAATCTTTCAATCCAAATATTGTGACAGAAATACCAAATCCTTTTTGGGTTTACAAGAGTGGGGGCTGAGGCAGCGTGGTCCTTATATGAATATACGATTCGTAATATCAGGTCGTTCACATTAAACTCATTTAGTTACCTATCAATGTATACAGACGCCACTGTCGATGAAATCAAAGGTGACGTGTTCACCGACCGTAATGTTTCACACATAATATCAAATTTTAGGAGTATAATTTTAAATGTAATACTAAAACGTGCCTCAAATAGTTTTGAACCTAAATTCATATTATACATTTTAAGATTCCAAGATTTAACAAAGGTCTGAGGAACGACACTTGAATCACCATTATCTGAAGTATTGGATATTAAATACATTGTTACTTAAAAACTTCATTAAAATATTTATACGTCTTTTTTTCATATAAGAATCTTGATACTTGTCAAATTTAAACAAAGGGATATTTATATTGCCGATTCTCTAGTAATAAAAAATAATGGATAAAAATATAAAGATATTGATACCCAACAAATGTAATTGTTAATAATAGCAATAATACTGCGGCTAAGTTACATCAGTTATAAGGGCATCGACGTACAAGGCACGGACGTGAATTGGGAAAGGCTGCCGGAGCCAGTCTTGACCAGGGTCGCTCTTGAACGACACACGAAGGTTACATTGCCAACATTTTGCGAACATCTTATGTCAAGTTTTATTTGAGATCTGGTCTAATTAGACTGGAAAATTTCGAGTAAAATAAACCATATAATCTCTTGCCAAGTCGTAGAACTTGCCCCTGGCACCAGAAGCATATGCCAATAAAAAAATAATACATGTAACCAAAAAAGGACTGCACACCTTTCAAAGCAGATGGCACGATTGTCATTTCATTATGAAAACCGGTACAACTATTTATAGAAAGACTAAATGTTATACATTCGTAACAGATTAATATAAATATGAAAAAGAACTTAAATAATTTATTAGTCTAAACTATACTGCAAATCTTTTCAAATTTTGTCGTAAGATTATCTACATGCAATCTGAACCAATAGCAAAAAACCTGTCTTTCTTAAAATTTTATCAACATTGTGATAGGAATACTTTCATTTGTAATATTTAGCTTCTTTACTTATATAAGGCAATCCATACATTAACCTACAAAAAATCCTTTAAGTGACGCAATCTTTAAGAGATAAACAAAATGAACAGCTCACTTGACATCATCGATCTTGGGATAACTGCATATCCTGAGTGTCTTGGTGTTGGAGCCCACAGCGTACAGTCTGCCGCCGGGATGGAATTCAGCACAACGCACTGCCTGAAGATCCTCCAGAACCGTCACTGGCTTAAAGGTCGGCCGGGAGCCGTTCACCTCCGCAACGGCTGGAGTACCAAGCGCACTCTGACTACCGTTCCTGCTTGGCGCCTGTGAATATAGCATTATTTATGTAGCATAGCATTGTTTCTATAGTCATCGTGAGAGTGATATGATTAATATTACCAAGGAAATAATCCTCACAAAACTTACATGGCACTGTACATAAATATTTATACTATAATATATAAACATCTACAAAACATATATATGTATTAGTAATAGCACACATATATTGACAAAGTGTAAGTGTTGTAAGTGTATGAATGTAATAAATAAATATATGTTATAATTATCTATCCTACATATACGTTTAAGAAAAGTTACCTGGGTTCTAAATAGGAACACAAAATGAACAACTTTCTACATTGAAGACGTTATTAACATATCAAATGTAAACAGTGAACAATAGCCAATGTAGATTATATTAACAGAACTTCTTTAGCATAATTCATACTCATTCGTGGAGGAATTATGGAATTTTAAAGGATTCATTTTAAAGGAATTCAACTATATATCTAAAGATATAAATAATTTTTCTTTCATTTCGTTATTTATTAAAGCCCCAGACAAAATCATACGAAGGCTTTTTTTTAAGTTATATGATATAAGCAGTTTTTAAAATAAAACGTAAATAAAAGTAACATAAGAAACTTGTTTCTTTCAAATAAATTGCCACTAAATGGCAGACATTCGCTATCGAGAAATACTTAATAAATAGAATTGATGTAAACTTAGTTTTACCATAACAATAAGTAGAAAGTATTGAAATACAAATTTAATTAAAGTTAGTTTTATCGAAACGTCTTTCCATCGAATATCGTACACGAACAAACACGAGAATGTAAAAAAAAAATCGACTGGAAATATTGAAAATTTTATATTTAAATGTAGACCTGCAGGTTACATTTAAAAAGCAGTATATACATTTTGGTTTGAATATAAACAAAATAATATATCAAAGTAATTAAATACATCTCGGGTGTCTAGATTCTTGATAAAATTATCATAGGGTCAAGTTCAACATTTTTAGGATTGAAGATATTTTAAATATCATTGATTAATTTGAATTACGTGCATGTCGGCCCTAAAAGGTGTGTAAATAATTTCGTTAATTTCATGACAGTCATGACCTACATGTGAATGTCAGGAGACGAGGAAAAATGTGTCGGATCGTATTTATGGTCCACACGAATCGTTGGATTCGGAATTATATTACAATAAAAATAAAAAATATACATTTAGAACGCATTGAAATACAATATATTTATATATGTAATTTAATTTTAATTAGAGTACTGTAGGGAGAACTGTGAATTTATAGAGAGGAGATGAGAGCTGATTAAATACATAATACAGTTTGTAATTTCGAAGCTCTACGGTATCGCCACTACATTATGAGGATTATGACAACGTTATAACCTCATCTCACAACTAATAACCGAGAGCTTTCATACAGAAATTCTATTTACAGAGGAATTCAATCATGGTGTAATAAAATTTGAATTTATATTTTAGAGATAAATTAGTTTTTAATTAAATAGTTATTCAATATGCATATGCTGAATTAATGTTCTAATTTATATTTTATGTCATTACCTCGTCTCGCTACAAAATTCGAAAGCTTTCATACAGAAATTCTATTTACCAAGGATTTCAGTAACGATATGATAGAATTTAATTTATGTTCTAATTTATATTTTAATAAGAAAATATCCACATTTTTATATTTCATACGTTTATTAGTATGTTCAAACGAAGTTTTCTGTTTACTTCTGTGCAGAAATGTATAACAATGTTAACACATAATGCAAACACCTTATTCTTGTTGTTATAACATTCTTAGACAACATATCTTTATGTAGTTATTGGACACGAAAATTTGGTATAAAACATAGGTAGATTTGTGTTTGTGACTTTAATAATATAAGTATTAGTTTAGTTGTTACAACGACTTTACCCAAAATATATCGATGAATTTGAAAGAACTTTAGTAATCTTAATCGTAATTAATAATCTTATTCGAGAGTATGTCTTAATATTATTCAAAGGTCATACGACAATTTCTACTCCTCATGGGGTATGGTAATAACAGTTGCTGAATACAATATGCGACCGATGTTTAGGTTAGGTTAGTATGGACTATGGACGCTCTATCTCTTCATAAATGGAACTAATGACGCTTACACGCTTCGTCCCCTTCGCTATCACATACATAAAGTTTGCTTGTTGGACTAGCACAACAAATCATTTCATGAAAATTATTATCATCATGTAAACAGTATTGTGTACAATCAACGATGCGTCAAATATCTCATTGCTGACGCTGTGATTGATTGTAATTTACTTAACCGCAACTTGCCAGATCATTGTCACGAAATTAAACACAGAGCAACCATTGGAGATGATTATACACAGATCTCAGCAATATCATTTAGACTAAGATAATTTATGTTAATTGACATTTATCCTTAATTTAAAGAAGTCACACGATGTGTGATAAAATTACTCTACTTTTATTATATAAGGTCTCATTAGTATTGTTTTTAATACTATTTCACCAAAGTGTTTTGTGTACAATAATTGACAGTAAGACAATCAGAGCGTTAGCAATGGGAGACAAAGAATTTGCTAGCCATGAAATGTGAACAAAGGGTCTGTTTTAATTGCGCTTTTACTGATCGTGACAATCAAAGGTCGGTCAGCAAGAAATCTGTAGAACACTGTGTGAGTGTGCGTGCGATTAAAAGATACGTTTATTGTAGCTAATAGTTTGTTTTCTTAGTGAGAATCTTGGGAAGTTAGAACCGCAAAGAACTCATACTTACGTTATAAAGAAAGAAAATTAGAATAAATAGTCAACAATTTGTAGCTTTGTGTAAACGATCACATAAAGTAAAATAAAGCATGATTCACATTGTTTTAGTTTATTCAAAATGAACTATGTTTTATAGCCTATCCTTACATACGGTTGTTCCTGTCGTATGTGATTATTATCATTCTTGTATAAATATTTTTTAAACCCGTATGGCGAATATGAGATTGTATAAGAGAGAGGGGAGGTGAGTGAACATTATCTGCTATAAGAGTTATATTAGGTTCATATTAGGCGAGTCGATATATAGGATGTTAGCCGCGGCACGTACGTTCCGGTTCGCGGTAACTGGAGCACAGTGGTGCGGTTCATATACAGTCATAACGCACTAGTAATTTTATCACTTTTCAACATGTTAATATAAACGGAAAAGTTCAAACTGACTCCCCATGTGATACTTTAAAACAATGATATTGCTTTATTGCAGCCGTATTAGATAAAACATTGCATAATAATGAGATCGAGTATACAACAAATTTATATTCCTGCCTATAAATAAGTGTCATTCTTCAACATTAATTCCCACTATCAATTTCGTCTCCACTTCACTTCACGATAGGACAGAAATATTTAACAGTTTCATCATTACTATGGAACGGTTTTAAGAGTTATAATGGGCTACAACTCTCATGCGATACATTTTTTTCCCTTTTGTTGCGTACGATGCACGTCATGCTCGGAGTATTTGATTAGAAAGCATCATTGTCCCTAGTCTGCATGATGACTCCGCAATCATTTAACCAACTTTTCTTTTTATAGAGAAATTTACTATTATGAAGATATTAAATTAAGTTATAGTGATTGAATCAATAGCGTTCGATGAATGCTCGATATTAAGTAACATGAAAATATTACAAAAATATATTTTTATACACAATTCTTTTTTCTATGTGATTTTATTAATCTATTCCGTTTAATATCTGAGGGAAATTTGAAAAAATTTGAAACATTTCTGTAATACAATTTTCCCTTTACATATGAAAACTTATTTCCGGTGGATAAGAAGAATTATTAAATTTTATATCATAAATTACCATACTCTTTTCGTTAGTCAATATATTATTATGAATTAAAAAATGTATATACATGAAACATCAGCTGCAGTCCTTATAAACATTTTGTTTACGAAAAATATTTTTGATCTTTGGACAGACTTGTAGTTAATAGAACATAAAATGCATAACAATTATTTAACTTTTTATTACGTTTGTTAAGTTTTATACATATTATTGTATTGTGTTGTTAAGTTTTATAGTTGTTCTGATTGAAAGTATAACGCCAGGTGTAAACTGCGCAATCACTAGTTATATAGAATTTTGTATAGAAAGTAGCAGTTCTGTCACAATTAGAAAGACCATATTTGTTACGCAAGCAGCTTTCTTTAGACGATTGATGTGAAACATTTGATTTTTATGTTAATGACATAACCGTGTTCTCAGCAAACTATTCGTCGATTATCTAACATCCGCGATCACTTATAATTCATTCATTTTAACACTTATTAATATTAAATAGATAAATTTTAACATACGAGGAAATTTTTCAATATCATTGAACACTTATTAAAATCTAAATATTAATTGATATTATAAATTGTTTTTTATGAAGAGGTTAAGTAGATTGAGAGACCTCTTATTGAACGTTATACAAGAATATGTTATTAACTCACCTAAATGAAAATTTCTCCTTTATCATAATAAAATAGTTTGGATTCACAATATTAACACATAGAACATTGTATAAAATGATACAGAACATATGAAAATTTGTTAGTTAGTGATCATAAGAGACATGATATTATATTAGCTTATATGCAAATCGCATGGCAACTTGAGCGGAACAATCGCAAATTAGACCTGACTTGTGCATCGGTCAAGACAATTATAACATTACATCAGAATAACAAGATTCTAAGGTTTAATAAACCGGATTCATAATATTATTGAAGAACGCATTGCATTAGACTAGGCAATATCATGTAAAAACTGTTCCAATCACTGGTAAAACTAAAAACGTGTTAAGCAAGCAATAACACACAATTGTATCTACAAATACAAATTATTTATCGGGCATAGCGACCATGGAAGGGGGTGCGGGTGCGGGGAGGTGTCTCCACCGGAGCTGAACGAGATGTACTCACATACACCACCTCTAATGACCGTCACAGAACATTTCA